AGCTACCAGATTTGCTGCAGAATCTCTTAGTACTAAGAATATCTTATCACTTGTCAACTTATACTGTTCAAGAACAATTTTTAACTGTTCACTGATTCGTGTAGCTGTGTGGGAACCTTCAAAGGAAACGATTTGCAAAACAGCTCTTTCCTGCTGAAAATCATCCTTCAACCAGTGGGTTGTTACACTTAAAAAAGGAGAATTGTTTGTAGTTGCTGTCCAAATATCAGCGGTTAAAGAAATATATTTTGTTTCTGTTAAACACGGAGACACTTCAGCTTTTTAAACGATGTCGAAGTTTCCATGCGTCAACAATTAAGTGTTGAGATTTATTTTAGAAACAAAGGAAGAAATTGTTGATTTTGCGAGGATATTCGATAGTCTTTTGTTTACCTGACCCGAGGGAGATGGAAATACCGGGTGGAGAAAAATGGGTTTTTTCCACATTATAAGTAACTGTATAATTAACTCCAGGATCTCACACTATTAATGCAATAAATTATTAACACTAATCGGCCGATTAATCGATATCAGCCGATAATGCATGGCCGATTAATCGGTAATCGGCCATTTTGCTTATCGGTGCATCCTTAATTTTTAACATCTTTTTCTGTGTCTTGATTTAAAGTTGGTTCTAAATCTTTGGTAAAAATATATAAAAAGAGTTGAGTAATTGCACTTATCCTTTTTTTAATAGATATAATAGTTGAACAAATTTGTACATTTTTGAACTTATATAGTTGATAATTTTTGCTGGATTACTTGATGATTTGTGTATAACTTATCTATATATCCAGTTTTATCCACATAATAAACTTTATAATGTAATAAATAGGAAAAATAACTACTAAATATTTCAAGATTATTCAGTTTGATTCTAAAAGAATGTGTAGATGCTACTATATTTATAAACCTAGTCGTTCAAATTAGAAAATATTTAAGAATCTAAATAAAATTGTATTTTTTATAAAATCAAATGTTTTATTTCTTAACAAAGTTCTTTACAAGAATCAAAAAATATAAGATTAAAATAGGATTTCTTGTTATAAGAAATCTTGTTTTATTTTATATATGATGATCACAGAATTTTGAATGGTAAACTTTGACAAGTTTACATTTTATATATTGTAATTTAATAAAATATGCTTTATATTGTTAAGTTTAAAAGTAAAATGTTTTTATATTACTGTTACAGAAAATGTTTTAATTTAAAATTTATGATCTAACATTGCTTACTTTTTATGTAGGTAATGTATCTCAGGTATCTTCTTCCCCTACTCCGAAACCAGTGGATAAACCCAGTATGCCTAAACCACCATCAACTAAACTTGCAATGTAGGGTTTTTTTCTTTATTATTGATATAACTTTTATTAATGTTAATATCATATAATTTTAATAAAATTTAATAATGTTAATAAAATATGAATATCATAAATATAATCTATTTATATACATTTAGCTGAAAACAATACAAAAATGAAACCTCAAATATATTTTTATATTACAAATATCAATTTTTATTTCTGTATTTAATAAAACAAAAAACGGTTGGTATAATGTTGTGTTTTAATATTCATAGTTCTTTTTAGTGTGGCATTATAAGCTTGAAATTATTTATATTAATATAATTATTAATAAGCTAAAACTCTTAACTAAATAACTAAAACTATACAAATATACACAACAAACAAAACCCGATATTAAGCAAATATACACCCACAACTGCTGTAAATGATCGGGCTAAATTTGGATATAACGATTATAAATTAGAAATGAATTTCATTATATCCAAATTTAACCCGATCATTTACGGCAGTTATGGGTGTATATTTAACTGAAACTATAAGAGATGCTTTAATGTAGTATAACTGTTACATAGCTTCCAAGTATTTTTGAGTTTTATTTATTTGATTTCAAGTACTTCGAATTTTATTATTAGTTTTGTAAATATTTTAATATTCTGATCAGTTAAAATTTGACAAATTTCAAATACAGTAAGACAATTTTGTCTCTCACCTTAAACATAAATACTTAGATTGTGTTTTGAATGTTATTTATTCATAAATAAAATTTTGTAATAAATTTCAAGTAATTTTATTTTATCCATTTATTGACNTTTCTTATTAATTAATTTATTTTAATACTGTTGTAAAATAATAAATATTGCATATTTTAAAGAAAAAAAAAAGCATTTTTGTTTTATTTTGAATTTTATTGTACACAGTATTTTTTGTTGAAGGTTATAAACTACAGATACATAATCAGACAAAGTAAAATTATTATATAAAAGTGCATACACAATATGCTATTTTAAAAATTAAATTGTTTTGTAGGAAGTATGTTTCAGAAAACAGTCCTCAGATAAAAAAATATGATTTTGGAAGAAAGCCAAGTTTTTTATTGTACTTGCAGAACTCTTAAATTCTATAGAATCTGTTAATGTTACTAAAAATAAAACTAGACTGTGAAGATGTTTATAATCCCAAGAATTGATTTCAAATGGAGAAAAAATATATGCATATGTTGTTTAAAATTGCAATTAAAAACTAATTTTATTTGATTATTTGTTGGTTCATACTTCTAACAGTTTTATATCCAACTTTAGCAGAATACCAAAGAGTATAAATTATATTCCAACGTTAAAAATGTTCATTTGCAATAAAATGAAGACAAAAAAAGGCACAACAAATCTTTGCAAATATACACATTGGAAAATTTATAAATATTTTAATAACCTTGACATGATTAACCTCATATGAGGCTTTACCAAGTAAGAACTAAACCTGTGTTTAAACAGTAAATTCATGCAATTTTAAATGTTGTTTTCTAAGTTATGTTTATAATATCAAATTGATTTTATATCTCTAAAATAAATACAACATTACAGCATTGAGAGACATTTTGTTTTTTACAAAATATCACAAAATATATTTGACAGAACTTTGACATGAACTTATAAACACACTATTCTTAGGCTTAATCATATCTATACCATTTTTAAACCTGATTTATAGTTAATTTAAACCAAACAATCCACCAAATTATTGGGTTATTATATGGCTAAGTTAATGGTTATAAATTAATTTGTTATGACAGTTACACAACTTTGATCTCTGCCCAATCTTCCATGCAGGTGCATCACTGGCAGTGCATCTTCATAGTAAGCAGGAGTTGTGGGTTAAATTCCAGTCTGGACTAATTTTCTTCTTTCAAAATTCTAAATTAAAAACTAATTGTAATCATTAAAATTAACACAGGATGGCAGCATAATCACCTATTTCTAGACAAATTATTACTTTCTAATAATTAACTTAGTTACATAATTGCAAAATAATTTGGCAGATCATTTGGTTTCAATTGAATAATGTATTTCTGTTGTAAACATTATGTAGTATTCTATGAAGTAATAAAATTCTCTCTTCTTCATGAGTAATGTATGTATTGATAGTACAGAAATTGCTAAGGATGTTTTTTTTTTCTTTTTCCAACTTATATAAAATTGTTTCAGTCAGTCAAGTTCACAATACAAAACAAAATGTGACCAAAAATAAGGTATTAGAGTTTAAGAATATAAGAAATAATCTTGCATTGAAATCTTTATAGTTTTTTAATATCATCATCATTATCATATGGAATGTTTTATCAGTTTGTTCTATGAGGAAATCAAAATATGTTTAAGAAAAATCACTCCTGATATTATGATGCTTTCTTCAAATGATTAATTTTATAGTTAAATGAAATAACTTTATGCAATTGAAATTATTGAAACGAATGTTTTTTTATTCAATAGAAATCATCAGGAAGTGATGAAAATTTTAATAGTAATCCATCAGTGTCTGGTAAGTAAAAAAAAAATTTAACATGTGTAGGAAATTTTAAATGTAGGGCATTTAAACTTTGTTTTATTTTATTGTAAAAGTGCCTGAACTGGTATCAAACATATTTTTCTTTATCCATTTTTAACAATAACATTAGAAGCAAAGTAAATCTAATTTTTTAAACAACAAATAAAATATTTTTGCCTTGATTTATTAAAGTAATTTTTGAATTATTTAATTCTTAAATTATTTTAAATCGTAAATGATTAAAGTATCTGTGAATAAGATTTAGTTTATAGAATTGAAGAAAAATATAAAGATGAGTAAGTTAAAATTGTATTAATTTCAGAAAAATCTGTTGATTCTGAACAGTATGCTGATCACTTTCAGAACATTGGTACCACTTCATCTCCAAGTACATCTCTAAGTAAGAACATTTTCCTCATATATAATTTTAATTACATTAAAATGTTAATGTTTATAAATTAAAAATGAAATTCTAAATTTCATATAATCTAAACTTTATCATGTTATTGGGGTTACTACGTAATCCAATGTTAAAGTTAATCATTACATAATTTCATTAACTCAGCTATAACCAGTTAATTTTTAGTCATTTTGGTTGCCAATTTAATTTATATTTTGAGTATTTTAAAAATTTATAATATAGTACAATAATGACTAATATAAATTAGATTTAGTTTTGTTCTGATACAAAGAATCATTGTTTTGAGTATACTTAAACATTCTAGAGTAAACTTACCTTACTAGCTGGTCCTCCTGGGAGGGGGTTGAGCATAGGGCCAACAATCCTACCTCAGAAAACAATGGTGTTATGAAACTGAGACAGTCAAAAAACAGGATCGATGAAATGGCTGCAATGACAAGGAAATGGAAACATGGAATAAGACTTGAGACATGGAATGTACAAAGTCTGTATACTATAGGAGTATTAAAAAAAACAATTGAAGAACTCCAGAAATGCAACATAGATATTTCACTATTTCAAGAAATGAGATAGACAGAAAAGGGTAGTCTCACATTTGGGCAGTACACAGTATTGTATGGAGGAAACAATAAACATGAGTATGGTGCATGGTTTTCCATCATGAATGAATACATTTCTAGCATCCTGCAGGTGAAGTTCATTACTGATTGCATATCATGGTTGAGGGTAAGGGGATCTTCCCCTTATCCTCAGCCATGATATGCAATACTAAGTTAACAACTTGAGCATAATTAATATCCATGCACCAACAGAAGATAAGACAGATAAAATTAAGGATGCATTCTACAGTACTCTAGAAGATCTTGTTGATAGAATACCGAAATATGACATACAATGGTAATTGAGGGCCATAATGCAAAAATAGGAAAGAAGACAGTTTTCAAACTCACAATTGGCAGACATGCTGAGACCAATGATAATGGGATGAGATTAGTAACCTTTGCAACATTCAAGAACATGGTTGTTAAGAGCACTATGTTCATCCATAAATCAGTTCATAAAAAAAAACATGGATTTTGCTAAAGTATTAAAAAAGTACTTTAAAACCATTACTATTTGTTATTTTCTTTATTTTTCTTAATATATGCATTTTCATCTTTCGATCTTTATCAGTAAATTCACAGGACTAAATTTATCCCATAAACAAATAGATATCTTAAAGAAGAGCAATAAACTACAAAAAGTAATAAAATATTTTTTTAAAAAACTTAAATATGTTATAAAATGACAATTGTTTCCATTACAATCAATTTCTTGTTTCTGCAACATCTATAATCATACACTCTGGTGACAGATTTATACCCATTGAATTCATTTTTTTCTTCTTTATTTTGTTTATTCTTTTTTCTACCTGTAAATTTTAGTTTGTTGGTTAATATGGGTATTAGTTGATATCCTACTTATTTAAATGTTTCTTTTTGTTTTTCAAATAGTCCTTTAATGTATGGAAATTTATAAAAATTATCTTTATCCAATTTTTTATTATTTACATATCTATTTTTATGTATACATATTATTCATCCTGCCATTTTTTAAGGGTAATCCTAGGATAATCATTAAGCAGATATTTCCTACAAGTATTTTTAATAAGGATGCACCGATTAATCGGTAAGTAATCGGTAATTGGCCGTATCGGTCACTTCGCCGATTAATCAGTATCGGCCATTTTCCCGATTAATCGGTTTCGATAATCGGCCAATTTTACATTTTGGTATTTTTGTTAGAATGTTACGTACAGTACAATGTTAGTAATAAAAACTAATAAATTTCTGTTATATATTTATTATTTATTACATGACAAACTGAATATTAAAAAATTCTACAATTCAAATTATTCCTTTTATTGATACATATTATAAGTATAATATAACGTATAATACAAAGTTTAAACTTTAAACATATAAAACAAATAAAAATTTAATATTCAAACTGTAAAACCCTTAAATTGCAATGCAAAAACATGAGAATTTCACCATTTTCAGGGCATAACCTATTTTTTGCCGGCTCGTAAATGTTACCTCCAGTGCTGAAAATTTTTTCACTTTCAATGGAAGATGCTGGGGCACTTAAATATTTCATAGCTATTTTGCTCAGATTAGGAAAAAATTCTTTTGAACTTTTCCACCACAAAAATAGGTCGGTATGTCTTTGTTTAAGGGGTAACTATAAATATGTTTCTAATTCTTGATCGAAACGTTTGTTTGTCTTGTTTTTTTCTTTCTTTTTAAAAACATGTTATTCTTCATTCTTTCGTTTACCAGAAGCTAATTCATCAAATAAATCAGAAAAACTTAGAAATTCACCTCCAACTTGATCACCTCCAGAAGTAGAAGCTTTAGAATTTAATTCTTATTGAGATTTCCTCTACCATATTCTCTTTTTGAAATTTCATTTTGAATCTAATAAAAGTGACAAGCATAAAGACTTGTTTTCTATATATGCTGAAAATCTTTTTTTTATTTGGATTTTCTAGTTCTTCCGTTGTGGTATTAATGCCACTAAAGGAACTACTGATCTTTGCTTTTGATAAGAATAATTTCAGAGTCTCTATTGTGGGAATTATTGAAGATGAAGTGGCTTCTCGTTTGCTGGCTTTCCACAGTAATTTCTTTGAATGGTTTTACAAGTAGAACAATTTTTTCAACGAGAGACCACTGATATGGGCTCAACGTAGGAATTTTATTATCTATAGCATATGTGACAAGGGCCTTTTGCTGTTCCAACATGTAGTATGTAGAATTCCAGCGAGTAGGAACATCTTGAATTAATTTGTGTTTCTGCAAACCTAACTTTTCTTGCAAATCTTCCAATTTGATTACAGCTACAGCAGAATGATTAAAATGTGTGACAATATTTCTATTAACTGTGATTATAGTTTTCACATCTTGTTTAGAAAATATGCATTCGTTTAGTGTCAGCTGCAGCGTATGTATAAAGCATGATAATGCTTCTAAGTTGCAATTCCTAATTCCAGCTACCAGATTTGCTGCAGAATCTCTTAGTACTAAGAATATCTTATCACTTGTCAACTTATACTGTTCAAGAACAATTTTTAACTGTTCACTGATTCGTGTAGCTGTGTGGGAACCTTCAAAGGAAACAATTTGCAAAACAGCTCTTTCCTGCTGAAAATCATCCTTCAACCAGTGGGCTGTTACACTTAAAAAAGGAGAATTGTTTGTAGTTGCTGTCCAAATATCAGCGGTTAAAGAAATATATTTTGTTTCTGTTAAACACGGAGACACTTCAGCTTTTTAAACGATGTCGAAGTTTCCATGCGTCAACAATTAAGTGTTGAGATTTATTTTAGAAACAAAGGAAGAGATTGTTGATTTTGCGAGGATATTCGATCGTCTTTTGTTTACCTGACCCGAGGGAGATGGAAATACCGGGTGGAGAAAAATGGGTTTTTTCCACATTATAAGTAACTGTATAATTAACTCCAGGATCTCACACTATTAATGCAATAAATTATTAACACTAATTGGCCGATTAATCGATATCAGCCGATAATGCATGGCCGATTAATCGGTAATCGGCCATTTTGCTTATCGGTGCATCCTTAATTTTTAACATCTTTTTCTGTGTCTTGATTTAAAGTTGGTTCTAAATCTTTGGTAAAAATATATAAAAAGAGTTGAGTAATTGCACTTATCCTTTTTTTAATAGATATAATAGTTGAACAAATTTGTACATTTTTGAACTTATATAGTTGATAATTTTTGCTGGATTACTTGATGATTTGTGTATAACTTATCTATATATCCAGTTTTATCCACATAATAAACTTTATAATGTAATAAATAGGAAAAATAACTACTAAATATTTCAAGATTATTCAGTTTGATTCTAAAAGAATGTGTAGATGCTACTATATTTATAAACCTAGTCGTTCAAATTAGAAAATATTTAAGAATCTAAATAAAATTGTATTTTTTATAAAATCAAATGTTTTATTTCTTAACAAAGTTCTTTACAAGAATCAAAAAATATAAGATTAAAATAGGATTTCTTGTTATAAGAAATCTTGTTTTATTTTATATATGATGATCACAGAATTTTGAATGGTAAACTTTGACAAGTTTACATTTTATATATTGTAATTTAATAAAATATGCTTTATATTGTTAAGTTTAAGAGTAAAATGTTTTTATATTACTGTTACAGAAAATGTTTTAATTTAAAATTTATGATCTAACATTGCTTACTTTTTATGTAGGTAATGTATCTCAGGTATCTTCTTCCCCTACTCCGAAACCAGTGGATAAACCCAGTATGCCTAAACCACCATCAACTAAACTTGCAATGTAGGGTTTTTTTCTTTATTATTGATATAACTTTTATTAATGTTAATATCATATAATTTTAATAAAATTTAATAATGTTAATAAAATATGAATATCATAAATATAATCTATTTATATACATTTAGCTGAAAACAATACAAAAATGAAACCTCAAATATATTTTTATATTACAAATATCAATTTTTATTTCTGTATTTAATAAAACAAAAAACGGTTGGTATAATGTTGTGTTTTAATATTCATAGTTCTTTTTAGTGTGGCATTATAAGCTTGAAATTATTTATATTAATATAATTATTAATAAGCTAAAACTCTTAACTAAATAACTAAAACTATACAAATATACACAACAAACAAAACCCGATATTAAGCAAATATACACCCACAACTGCTGTAAATGATCGGGCTAAATTTGGATATAACGATTATAAATTAGAAATGAATTTCATTATATCCAAATTTAACCCGATCATTTACGGCAGTTATGGGTGTATATTTAACTGAAACTATAAGAGATGCTTTAATGTAGTATAACTGTTACATAGCTTCCAAGTATTTTTGAGTTTTATTTATTTGATTTCAAGTACTTCGAATTTTATTATTAGTTTTGTAAATATTTTAATATTCTGATCAGTTAAAATTTGACAAATTTCAAATACAGTAAGACAATTTTGTCTCTCACCTTAAACATAAATACTTAGATTGTGTTTTGAATGTTATTTATTCATAAATAAAATTTTGTAATAAATTTCAAGTAATTTTATTTTATCCATTTATTGACTTAAAACTATACTCTATCTTTATTTTAAGAGTTTATCTTTATTTTAAAAAATTTTAAAAAGTAAATTAGATTTAAATGTTTACTAGAGACTTTGATATAAGTTTTAAATAAATTAAATATGCAATTAATAAAATAGAATGTACGTTTAATAAAACTACTTATTAGCTATTATGGAGAGTATTGTAGAATGGCAAATGTAACACTTTAGTTTGCTTTCAGAAACAATTTATTTATTTAAAACAAAGGTAGATGATGAAAAATACATTTTACCATTTATAATTTTTAATGAAAATGCATTACATAACATTTTTTTATGGTGTCATTTTTCAATGCTATCATTTTTTAATTTAACATTTTAACATTTCACAATTAAATGAAATTGATTATACTATATACTTCTAAATATATATTAATTTTATTACAGAAAAAATTATCCAAGAGTTAACATTCCTAGATCTCTTCCAATAAAAAGACCTCCCAGTCAACCACCACCTCCACCAATACCACAAGTATGTGCATTTGACATCATATTTATTTAAATTAATAATCTCTTTTTCCTGTGTTTAAAAAATGATGCTACTAAATTTTCATTAATAAATATTCTATTGAACATGCTTTTTTTTTGTTTATATGTAATTTTAATGTATATACAAAAATACTACTGTGATCAAAAGGTATTGGGAATGATTCATTTAAACTGAGTGTGTGGAAGAATGTCATTCTTTTTTGTCATTTGGTATGACTTTCATCATCATCATCTAGCAGCAATCTGTATGTTATTGTTTGTTTTTGTTTGCAAATAAATGCTTGTTTTGTGTGTAAAGAATTTTTGTGCTTGTGATTTTTTAAAATGTTAAGAGTAATTGAATAAAGAATGTGCATTAAACTTTGTTTTAGCTGCTACAAAAGCATTAGAAGTGTTGCAAATAGCCTTTGGTGACAATAATCTATCAAAAATAAGTTTTTGAGTGGTAGAACATATTTGAGAAAAGCAGAAATTGTGTCAAAGCTGAATAATGTCCTGGTAGACCATTTATTTGAACTGATGAACATCATGTTACTCAAGTCAGTTATATGGTGCTCAGTGATTCTCATTTAATCAATTAGGAACATTATTGAATATGTTCCAGTATAATTTGGATCTTATATCAAGCAATTTTAAAAGATTATTTGAGTTTGCAGCATGTCACTTCTCGAGTCATCCTTAAAATGTTTAATTTTTTCCAAAAACAACAGTGTGTTCAAGTTGCTGAGAAAATGCTTTTTTGAGGTAATTCATTCTTAAAACATCATTACAGGTGATAAAACAAGGATCTATGCTTTTGACACCAAAACAGCCCAACAATCAAGTGAATGCTGCTTGAAAGAACTAGACCAAAAAGACTCCATGAAAATTGGCCAAAAATCAACATCATGTTGACTTTTATTGTCTTCTTATTGTGCATCACAAATTTCTTCCAGCTGACCAAACTATTAACAAAGAATATAATTTGAGCATTTTGCATTGTTTGTTTGAAACAATTTGTAGAAAACAATCTGATTTTATGGTGAGAAAACAGATGGATTTCGCACCACAATAATGCACCTACTCAATGTTCTTGCTAAAGAATTTTTGGCCAGAAATTCAACAAATATGGTTCTGCAAACTCTGTATTCACTAGTATGGCACCATGTAACTCTCTCCTGTTTCCTCAACTAAAATTTCTGTTTTGTGGTTGCTGTTTTGAATTGATTGATGATATAAAACAAAATTGCTACAAATCCTGAAGTTTTCACAAAAATGAATTTAAAACATGTTTTGAGGATCAGAGAAAAACATTCACATAGGTGCATTGCAGTGGGAGGAGATTACTTTGAAGGAGACAAAATAAATTTTTTTGAATGAATTTAAATAATTTTTGATCACAGGAGTAATATAAAATTGGGTATAAATAAAGACAAATAATAACCACCAAAATATTTTTTAAACTATATTTTTGAGTATAGATGATGATAATTTAAACTGTTCTTTGTTATTAATTATAATAAATTTTAAAGATAAAAATAAATTGTTATAATTCAGTTTAACAATTCCAATGTTTTTAGTTTGTTTTAGATGTTTCATTTTAAAAATGTATGTTATAATCAGGCTACTGTGATATAATCAGAAAAAAGCTGAATTTTAATTTCTTTTACTTTTAAAATTAAATACACTAACACTAAAAATCCAGCGACAAAACACTGTAATAAACAAATAAATATTTTAAACCATCATAAACAGTCATCAGTTTTAACCTAGTAAATTCAAACTGAGATTGTAATTAGAACATAGTTTTTAATAAAAATATTTTGGATGCAACAGTACACATAACAGAATGAAATAAAGTATTGTCCATGCTATTAAAGGATGGAGGAACCTCAATTAAGATATTTTGTAAAAATTGGCTGCTGGTTTTTGATGTTAGTGTGTTTGTTTGAATTTCATCCAGTTGTATGAACTGTTTACTTTTAAAATTATAGAAAAACAATGAATGTTTATTAAATTTGTGTGTACAGTTATTTCTCTACGATATACCATAAAATTTTAAGATTAATATTGAATTCCATATGAAATGAGTAATTATTTTTTGTGGCATTGTCACAATAAATAATTATTCATTTTGCAATTTTTAATTATATTTTTAATAATTTTTTAATTTAAAATATGTGCTCTCCATCTCAAATTAGTAGTGTCTTGCTAATGGAAAAGTATGATTTTATATCATACTTTTCCATTAGCAATAGCATTGTGCTGGTCATCTAAGTCCTTTCAGGGGAAAATTTCTTAATTGAAATAACATAATTGAGGTCTCCATCCCCTAATCTTTCCATTTCTGGTGATGGTTTTTATCTATCTAATTCCGTTGTCGAGATTAAGGTAAGACGGATGGACAACAGTGGGAATTTATAGATCTATAATTTTTTCAAATTGCAGCCCAATTAATAACTCAAGTCACTAAAATAATTGACAAAACAATGTTTTATGAAATCCTTAGTGCAAAATTTTCCTATAATTTTGAACTGTATTATGAAACATTACCTTATAAGAACATTTTAGATGAGTTTTTTTTATTAAAAATAAGGAAATAATTCAGGGTGAAAATTTAAGATAGACAATATGTCCAAAAATTGTCTTAGTTGTTACTTTGCTTGTATGAAATATACTTAAATATTAGTGTTAACCTTCTGTGAAAGGTTATTTTGCTATTGCAGATAATTGAAAGTACACAAGTTTTTATTATTTCTACAAAACTACATAGAATTTTGATAAACCAGAATTGTGAAATATTCTTCATAATAAAAATAAATTATCAAGTAATAAATTATAGTCACAAATACAATTTTAGCTTGTTGTTACCCATTTTCATATCCCCAGCTGTTTGGGATCTGAAGCTGAGATAATAAAAGTTTTGAAAAATATTTTATTCAAACAAATTTCTAACTCCTAAAATCTTAGTGTTTGTGTTTTTGGTTTTATGATCTACCATACATTAAATGGGGTTATTGTATCAGAACAGATTTTGCAATAATCTTAATTTCATTTTCTTTATTAACTGAATAAGCAACAAGTACTGAGCATACCTACTTATTCACTAAAATTTAACAGATTAATGATTCACAATTTCTAAGTTTCATGGTGATTTAGTTAAAATATTATTGAGTTTTTGTTGAGTATATTCATCTTATATTTGTATATGTAAATCTAGAAATTAAGCTATAAAATTAACTTAGTATTGAATTCCCAAAAGCATATATGAAGTAACAAAAGGAGTTTGTAACTTAACAAGTTAGACTACATGATGTGAGCCAGTTATGCATCACAAGAAGTATTTAAATATTGAACGTTAATTTACTTAGACTCGAGAAATAACATTTGAAACCTTACTTTGTGGAAAACCCTTATTTGATTTGGCCAAAATTTGGATTTTTTACACAGCCATATGTACAGAATTGTGGGATAATCCAATTTCTTCGGATAAACACCTTATTGGTTGGATTTGCTTCTAAGCATGCCTGGATATGTCTTTCCTCAGATTGTGTCAGATAGTTTTTTTTAACTAACCCCTTTTAAAATGTTTGTAAATATTGACAGATGATTTGAGATATTTTTACATAAGCTGATACCTTAATTTTTGGTAACTTTTCTTTTTATGTAATTTTCCAATATGTAATGAAAGTTCTCTATTCTGTGGTATATAGTATTTTTACTTTTACAATACTTAATTTATTGAACTATAATGAGCCTACACTAAAGTTGAGAATTGGAAAATGTAATAAGTCCAATAAGTGGTGCTACCAATTCAGTATTAGTAAGTTTTTTGCATTGCTTTTCATAAGTTGCCCATTTGATTTTCTTGTATAATAACATTAAAATTTTAATAATAGTTGTTATATTAATTTAACTTAATAGTAATTATTTAATTTAAATATTTAGCCTTTATCACCAAATACACTTCAAGAAGATTATGAAATTCCAATAAATCCAATATTATTAGTTCAAACTTCAGCAGCATCACCACCACCTCTTCCTTCAGCAGACTCGAGTAATGCTGTTTTACGAAAATCATCAAATGCATCGATAACATCGATTACAAAAAAAGAAGAAACAATTCAAGGTAAAGTTTTTAATTATATAAAATATAGAGATACACAATTGATTTATTCAAAACTACACATTTAAATATAATGTTACTTTGATAAACTTGATATCAACTTAAATTTTAAATAAAATATGATAAAAGCATAATGTAGTTTTAATTAATATAATCTTAATTGAATAAAGTATAATTTAATTAATTGTTTGCATAAAATATGTAATTTTTAAATATGTTTATTGTATAGATAAAATTAATGAAAATTTTGATAAAAGCAAAAAGTAATTATTTATTAATCTATTTCAGAAACATATGAAATTGTTGAACCAGTAAGTACTTGTTTTCTTTTTTAAGAGTTTTTTAAAAATGTCTCCTTTTAATTATTATTAAAATAAATTTCATAATTATTCATAAATTATGTCACAATTTGAAGATTAAAAAATATATATATATATTTGTTTTCATAGTATATAAATTATAAAATATCTGAGGTTGCTTGAAATTAAATTTTATTTTTGTACAGTTGTAGGTATTGTTGTTTTCTAGTTGAGAGTAAAAGGAATAGAAAAATTTTACTCTTTATTTTGAAAGTTGTGTTTGGTAAAATTTTACACAAATCTGACAATTACTCAAAACTAGTATTGTGTGTAGCATATTTTCTGTACTACCTACTGATCTGTTTACTCTGATGATTTTCTGCTCGTTTACATTAACTTTATGGCTTTTGAAAATAATATGAGAATGGTATCAAGCATAGATATCTATTCATGTTTAATGCATTCTTAAATTAATTTTATAGCAGTCTAGTAATTTAGAGATGTGGGAAGCTTGTAATCAGTGATATTAATGTATTAATAAGCTCAACTGTGTGCCAATTTAGTTAATACATCACAAGGTCAATTAAACCAACCTAAGACCAAATAATAACTCAAACATACTGTTGAGTTGTTACAACCTTAATCCAGGAAGGCTTTGGAACCAAACACCTCAAAAAATTGATGGACTGAGACTATAAATTTGTCAAATTATGTAATATTACAAAAGTACCAACAGGTTGTTTTATATAAAAATATTAAAATATATTCTTAAAATTAAAATCTACATTGAATTGAATAGTTAAAATTGAAAGTGATTTGCTCAGTACTGAATGCCTACATTGTTCAATTTCTCATGATTGCATAGTCACATCTGAATAACATATACTGTATAAAATGCCTCAGTTGACTGCTTTGTCATAAAATAAAAATTGTTTATCCATTTTCACGTTTATCTTTTTATTTTTACAGAAATATTGCACATAATAAGTGTTTAGTCCTGATTGAATTAGTATTAGTCCTGAATTATTTTAAGTAGAAAGAATCCAAATTTTTGTTTATAAATGAACCTATACACATGATTTACTTTTTATATTTAATAATTTTAAATTGGTTAAATGTTATATTAATTACAATATATAATTACATACACATAAATAATAAGAAAGAAGAAAACTTTTGTAAAAATGGAAAAGCCACCAGAAATAACTTGTTTACATCTTTTGTCATATAAAATTATATATATAATTTAAGTTAATATTACAACATAAATATTATAGGAACTTTTAGTTTCCTGTTATGAAATATATAATAATAATTTAATATTCAAAATAAATTTTCATTTTATTAAATTGTTTTTCTTATAAAAAAATTTTTTTACAGCCTGAAGAGAACTACGAAGTTGTAAATGGTAAGTAGCAAACTATAAAATAATTACTTTCTTACTGGTATTTCAGATATGTTTTTTGATCCATTGACAATATTTCAATTATAGGCTAATTAAATATGACAAATTGTTAACATCTACATTTATTAGTTTGGTTGGTTTTGCAAAGAACAGCAGTTTTTATCTGTAATTCTACAATTATTTTCCATCTTTACTAATTTTGAATGTAATTTTGAAATATTTTTCACATTGTGAATTATTTCATACTAAAATTTTAGAAATTTATTAGTTATTGTTAGTTAAAAACTATTGCATAAGTTGCAATTGTTTTTTTCTTTTACATATACATTGAAATATTAAAATTTGATCAGATAATATTTGAACATAGAAATGATTCTCAATGATTCTATAAAAAAATAAAATCTTACTTTCATTACAAATTTTGCATATTAGCCTGTTGCTGGAGGCTAGTGATCTTTAAACTTTTAACATCTATGGAACCTCATTCTGAGTGTTAGTATAGCAGAAATATTGTTACATAATTAGACAAGTAAAGTTTAGAAAGTTATATTTTTTGATATTTTTAAGATTATCAGCACAAAACCTTTCTCACTAATTTCTAGCCTTATTAACTGGAGTACAAACGTTTTCGGCCTTCTTAATAGGCCTTCCTCGGGTACACTGTAGAGCGTCGGCTAGAAGAAGTTTAAATGCTGCCAATGTTTACCCAGGTATCGTCTTACCAGTGACGTCATCGTCGATGATAGGTATACGATACTGAGGGCGAAAAATACATACTTTTGGTAAAGAAGGGAGGTGTGCAGATAGGATACTTGCTAAAGTTGGGGAAAAAGATTTTAGAGTAAGCGTGCTACGTACAGGAGATGCACAATCACAACAGGGGGTTAGTGGGGAGTGACGTCATAGATGAGGCCGTAAATACTCAACGCTACAGTAAGAAGAGGCGTGCGAACGACCGTGGATGGAAAGGGTGTTACGATTAGAAGGTAGAATTGGAAATAAACGCGACAAGTAAAAGCGCTAACGGTTGCACGTGGTGAGGGTGGGATGGTCTATTTATTTCAAGGGGTTGTCGAAGAATGATTTCCAAGCGGAGGAGAGCGAGTCCGCATCTCTGCTGTTGATACAACCGTCTTTGAGGGATTGCTTAAATATTTCAATTGTTTCGACTGTTCTAAGCTTGGTGTGGTCGTGCATAGGAATAGTAATCCTCGCCTCTTCCCATTTGGTCGTTATACCAGGTTCGCTTGCAAACTGGGCAAGGGTGGAAGTGAATTTTTTGTTGTATGCGTCGTACTTGTGCTCAGTTATCCTCCTTTTAAGCGATCTATTGGTTGAGCCAATGTATGTTAGCTTCTTGCACGGGTTAGATCTGCCGTCCTCCAATGGGACGGTGTAGACTCCTGGTCTCCTGGCTTCGCTGCATTTGTCCTTGGTGTTAGCTAGAAGTTTATAAATCGTAGGGTTGCGTCTGTATGCGAGAGTAGCGTTGACCTTTTTTGCTATGAAGTTATAGGCCTGGCTCATTCTAGGGTCAAAATCGACGGTAATGCGCTTACCTTGTTGCTTTAGAGGTTTAGAAGTGGCATCTCCGGTTGTTAAGCATCTATGAGTTTTTTGCGCAAGCCTATCGATAAACTTACTGCTGAAACCGTGGGCTGTGGCGATGCGCTTGATGCGTTGGATTTCTCGTAGCGCGTCGTTAATGCTAGAGCAATGGGTAAAAGCTCTGCGGATAAGAGCCCTGAAAGCGGACATTTTGTAAGTAAAGGGGTCATTCGAGGTTGCAGGGATAAAGAAAGATTGAAGATTAGGCTTATGGAACACACTAGTAGCTATGCAGCCATGATC